CTTAAATTAAAGTCTGATAAAAAAAAATTGTGAATTCAAATCCTTACTAAAAAATAAATCTTTTATATTTTAAGTAAATAACTTCAACTTTATTTTTAATTCTTTTTAAATCCCACTAAAGTTTAGAAATTACAATCAAATATTTTAAAATAAGGAGAACAAAACAAAATATTTAAAAGTATAATAAGATTTTGGTTCGAAAATACTTTTTCATCCTATATTTTTATTAAAATAACGATTTAATTCCTAAACTATAATTTATAACGACTTAGTCTTTATCATGAAAAATGTTTGTTGTTAAAATTTAATGAGTTATTTTTATATATGCACACAACAAAGGACCAAATGTATACATAAACTACAAAAAGTAAATTATTACAAAGTAAAAATCCAATATTTAATTTTGATAAATTTTTTTACCATAGATTAAATTTTTTTAAATTTTAAATTATAAAGACTAAATTACTGTCGATTTTAAAAGTATCAGATACTAAATCATTACAAACTAAAATACTAAAATTTATCTCAAAAGAATTAGAAGATGAAAAATATCTTTCACCCTAAAATTAATACGAAATTTCTAGACCATAATAATTAAATTTTGAAACTCACTAAAGAGAAAAAGGATAAGAACATGGTACCCCTATTGGAGATAGGTTACCCTTACTTGGTAAAAGGATAAAATGAAAGAGAAATGAGAAAGCATGGGAAACAGCAGTCATTATTGAGGCCAGTGTGGGGCAATTGTCCTTATTAGGTGGGGTGGGTGGATAAGGTTCCCGTCAAAGTTTTAAATATTGACGTAGATAGAAACGTCGAGGTTTCAATTTTATAAAATTATAGATAGAATTATAAAAATATTATGTTTATAATAGTGATATTTTTCATATTTTATTGATCGTTTTCAATGCTATGGAAATGTCGATTTATCTCTTGTGTTGATGTCAAACCTATAAATGTATATTTATATTCGAGGATTTCTAAAATTAAAACGGAAAATAAAATGTAACTCTCAAAATTATTTTTATGCATTAATTCATGGGTTTAAAAATAAAAAAAATAAAAACAGATTTTTGTTCTGTAAAATTTAGCTAAGCATGTTTAAAATGGATTTTTCCTTTTTTTCTAAAGGACAGAAACCACCTAAAATTTGTATTTGCTTGAATATATTAATTTGAGGGAGACTATCCTTAAATTACCGTATATATTTTAAATTCTGAGAATTAAAATTATATTTATTTCAGATTTATTATATTTCTAAGAACCAGTGTCACATCCAATGACCCAAAAATAGAAAACAATGATCCGTCTAAAAAATTTATTGAAAAAAAAAAAAACAAAACAAAACAACAATGTGATATCCTTCTCAAAAGTCCAAACCTCGTAATAATAAAGGGTAAGGCATAACTTTACTCTCGATAACACACACAAAATGAAAATTCAGCGATCTCTTAAAATAATTTTTTAAGGTTGGATGATTTATTAGAAACAAAAATAAAAATTTGTAGAGTCTGTAAAAAGATAATTTTTTTTTTAAAAAAAATTATGAACTCATTTAACACAGATTTAAAATTATGAACTTATATTGAATTTCTTGTACGGCATTTGCTTGAATGGTATTCTTTTGAGCCCAAACATTTTGGGAGGGTAACTCTATGCTAAGTGGGAAATAAACAGATTAGATCATGTTTAGCGTGTTACAATAATTTTAAGATTTCTAGTAAATACTATCTCGTAAGATTAAGTACATATATACACTCCATCTAACTCACAACTAAGTAGAAATTCATGAATTCCTAATTAACTAGATAGGCTTAAATTTCAATTTAACTTTAATAGTGTTTATAAATGTGTAGCCTATTTTAATTTTAGAATTAATTCAAATTTTTACACAATTTATTATTGATGTGATGATTTACAAAGCAAATTAATAAAAATGCTTATTAGGCTTCTACCGTCCAATCCGATAATGTACGGATATTGTCACTCCATCTAACTCACAAGTAAGAATAAATTCATGTCATTTCGGAAAAAATAAATAAATAAATTCATGAATTCCTAATTAATTAGACCGTCTAAATTTCAATTTATCATTAGGTTAAATAATACTTTTGGTCCATATGCTTTAGTTGAAGTAACGATTTAGTCATCAACTTTTAAAAGTAATGATTTAGTCTCTATGCTTTCAAATTTGTACCAATTTAGTCCTTGAAATTTAGAAGGTAACATTATTCAGTATTGAAGTTTAAAGTTTGTAATGATTTAGTCTCGATTGTGATTTTTTTTTTTGTTAAAACTTTTTATAAATGTAGATCGATAAATTGATGAAGCATGGAAGTAGTTAATAAATTACAAAAATTAAATCGTTATACGATAAAATTTGACGCTTAATTTTGATGAGAAATTTTCGTTGTAGGGACTAAATTATTACAAATTTTAAACTATAGAAACTAAATTGTTACATGTTAAATTTTAGGGACTAAATTGTTACCAATATGAAAGTACAGGGACTAAATCGTTACAATTAAAGGTTCAGAGACTAAATCGTTACTTTAATGAAAGTACAGAGACTAAATGTGTTTTTTAACCTTAACTTTAATAGCGTTTATAAATGGGTAGCAAATTTCAAATTTATAATTAATTAAAATTTTAACATAGTTTCTTATTGATGTGATAATTTCTCAAGCGAATTAAATAATTAAGTAGATGGTTGATGACAGAGTGAGAAAAAATATATTCCACTCGTAGCGTTTCTTTTGTATAACATGTGGAGTAGTGGATCGAACTTACACCCTCTTCATGAGAAATGTATGTCAATTACCAAAACTACTATTAGACGTTAAAATGAGAGCGGGATGATAATTTGTTTAAAAAAAAAACAGAGAACGGGATGATAAAGATGAAACTCCTATGCAAAAGTTATTTATACAAGCTGAGTTTAATTGATAGGTACTGCACGACTATTGTGATTTTAAAAAAATGATAGTAAAATAATTCATTTAAATAAGATTATAACGTCCATCGAAAAATTTAATATTTCAATTTTCAAAGTCAATCATAATTCACATATGTTAAAATATATTATACGATAATTCTTGATAATAATCGGAAGAAAAATATTTGTCTAAGATGTGAACAACAACTATCGTCCACCGCCAACTACTTGTTAGATGATAACAGTATCCACAAACGTATAAACAAGGGATCACACTTTAGTAACAATTCTAGCTCAACCTTCCATCTAAATCATAATTGAGACTAATTTGAATGTCGAAATATCTGCTCCCTTTATGTAGGTATAATGTTGGTCAAGCTCGAAATAATAATAATAATAATAATAATAATAATAATAATACATGTACAAAGAAAAATTATATGTTGAATTTTACCAACTTAACCTTGATCTAAAACATACGTTCCAAATTCAAAACTAAATATTCAAACTAAAATCCATAATCCACTGAACTCAAAAAAGGGAAATTTTTTCCCAATATCTTATTATTTAACTTAACAGTAATAAGTAATGAGTAAAAGCAGGTAAGAAACGCAAAACCGTGGAATTTGGTCGTAATAAGGTTTTAAATGTCAACGTTTGAAAAAAATGTCGATGTCTTGATTCTATGAAAAATGTTGATAAAAAATGATAACATTTTGATATCGATATATATTTTTGAAAAGACAAATTAAGAAATACGTATTTTAATATTTTTAAATGAGTTAAAAATGATTTATTAAATATTATGTTTATATCAGTCATGTTTGGTTCATATTTTGTCATTTTTTTAATATTATGTAAATTTGGATGAAAATGTTGACATGTTAAGGACATTCTTGAGATTGGTGTCGATGGCCGGTGACGATGCTACTGAACCAAATTGTAATCCATCTATTTTGATATGATATGTTTTTTCTTTTTTTTTAGAAAATCAAGGACCACATAAATAATTTTAATTAATAATTCATTAAAAACCAATTTAAGAAGAGAGTTAATCTATCTAGTACCTTTCCATAGCATTTGTCACAATAATTATTGAAAAAAACTTCAAATTTTTTATTAACGCCGAAAACGTGACTAAAAAGATTAAAAATATCATATTCTATTTGTTCAAACTTTTGATTTGAAGAATATTTTCAAATAGCATTAGAGTAGAAAATTATGAGCTCGAATGAATATTTTTGCACCATATATATATAATCAAAATTGATCATAGGATGGATTTAATGAAGGGGTAAACGAAAGGGCTAGATTTAATTTTACCATCTTATAAAAACTATGGCAGTGTAATGGTTTTAACTGAACAATTTAATTTTACCCACCAGTAAGTTCAAAAGTCATGAGTGAAAATTTTGCAAATTTTTAAGTTTAAGAATTTAATTTCAAAGTTTGAAGGTAGGATCTCATTTCTACCATTAAAAATTTTTTGTGGGTAAAACTGTAACAAGAAACTTCAAGGCTGACTTGTACAACAAAAGCCAACTATTACAATCTTGTAAAATTTAAAGGTCTAATTTTTACAATCCTGGCAACATAAGATTGTGACTTTTAAGTCGATGATAATATCTTAATCGTTAAACTATACTTGGTTGGCACAATCTTGTGAGTCTTCAAGAGTACAGTCTTTATAGTTCAAAAGTCTAGTACAATTATAACAACCAAAATACTCAAAACGTGTGGATTTTTTTTAGTTCAACAACATATAAATATCAAAGACTTGAACTTCCAACCTGGTCGACTGTATAACTCAACTAGTTATTGTACAATTCGAGTTGGTAAAACACTTTAAACATGATTTGTATCATTCATCCTACCAAAAAAATATATATAATATAAGTAGGAAAGTAAATAATATAAAATCAGTGTTTGCAGAGTACGAAAAAAGAGAGTTAATATATATAATAAATATAAATAAAGGGGAAAGAAAAACTCTAACCAACGGCAAGCAACCTATTTACTATCCGAAACCTGCCAAATCTCTACCACATTTATTCCTTCCACACTTTTTACTTCCCTCCCACACTCCAAAATGCTCTATAAATTTCTCTCTTCCTCACCATTCTTCTCTACCCTCCTCCCACCTCCGCCACCGTCTCCGCCTTCGACACCACCACCTCACCGTCTGCCCGAAGAAGCCCTTTCGATCTCTAACAAGAGTTGTTCGTCTATCATATTCTTTATAGAGGGAAAATTTAGTAGTCTCTATTGTGTGTGGCTTTTATCTATAGAGAACAGATCAATGGCGATCATCTCACTGATAACTGGATGGCCGGGGCCGAGCGGGTTTGGATCGGCCTCCACGGCGGAGCAAGTGACTCTTGGGATCGACGCCACCAACCTTACCGCCATTGTCACCGGTTACTTTCTCTCTCTTTACTTTCTATTCGAACTCATGATTTTTTGGTCAGAAATAGATACCCTTACTAGCTCAACTATATTCAGATTGCTATTCACATTAATTTTTTTTTAAATATAGGCAAAGTTATAGATGCACAGTTGGGAATTCAAAGGTTGAGAGCTYYTTTTTTTTTCTCTTAGAAAAATTTTCAGGTTTTTTTTCTCTCTTTTAGCTCATGTGTTTGGAATTATGATGAGAMAATGTTGTTTTTTAAATTAAAAAAGATCGAAGCTTTTATTTAAGGTTTATATTTCTTTATTATATAGTATTATGTTGTTTTATTTTATTTTATTCATTAATTTTTTTAAAAGAATCTAATTAAACTTCCGGGTTTGTTGGATCCACAAAATCTTCTAGAAAGGTCAATTTTTTTTGAACCCACCAGATCAAATTTCAAATCTAAAAGGAAAGTTTTGACTTCAGACATTAAATTTAATAGTTTGTGTTGGTAKTTGAGGTAAATTTTTCTTCTCTCTCTTTTTTTTTTTTATTTAAAATATAGTCCCAATACTTTTAGTTTAGATTTTAATTTTTATTCACAAGGAGTACCACGTAAAGTATCACTAAAAAATAAAGAGAGAAATTACATTAATTATAGTGTCTGAATTAATGATCTCTAATGTTACATCAACACATTAAATTGAAAAGATTAATTTGATAAATCAGGTAAATGTTCTCTTAGATATTTTTCTGTTCCTATTAATATTCATGGAAAAGAGTTTTAAGGCTAATTTCACAAAAATAAACATTAGACGATAACAAATAGACATACGGAAGAAAGTCAAACTTAAAGATAAGACRTGCTAATTCGGAAATTTCAAGATAGTGTATAACGAACTTTCGATGAAATCGTCTTCGATAATTGAGATCTTATCATTTTCTTGCGGTGGGAAAGTGCAGGTGGAGCAAGTGGGATCGGATTGGAAACAGTGAGAGTTTTAGCGATGCGAAAGGCACACGTGATTATAGGTGCGAGGAATTTAGATGCGGCAAATAAAGCAAAACAACAATTGCTTGAAGAAAATCCATCTGCTAAATTGGATATTCTCAAGCTTGATCTTTCCTCCATCAAATCCACAAGAGAATTTGCTGAGAATTTTATTGCTCTCAATCTCCCTCTCAACATTTTAATGTAAAATTTTCTCTCTATTTCTCCTTTTTTTTATATATATTATCTCTAATTTTTCATTAAAATATCCAATTTTGGGTTGAAATTTCAGAAACAATGCTGGTGTAATGTTCTGCCCATTTCAGCTTTCTCAAGATGGGATTGAGATGCAGTTTGCCACCAACCACCTTGGTAAAAAAAAAAAAATTCAAATTAATTATATATTTTGTTCTTATACTTTCATGTTTCATAACAATTTCGTCTATCTTTTTATTTTTTAGAAATTATAATTTTGTCATCGTGGATGGTATTAGATATATAAGAGCAATAAATTAATGATGTGGTCCTGATGTTGATTGAAATAACGCTAATCAAAATTATATGACTAACGACTTAACATCGACTAATCAACGAAAGTAGAAGGACAAAATTAAAAGTTTGTGTGCAATTATTCTTTGGAATAATTTGATTTTTTTTTCGTTTTTTGGTTGGCAGGTCATTTTCTGCTAACAAATTTGCTTCTTGAGAAAATGAAAAACACTGCAAAAACCACAGGAATTGAGGGTAGAATTGTGAATTTGTCATCTATAGCTCACGTCCACACTTATGGAGATGGAATTCGCTTCAATAAAATCAGTGAGAAGAATGGGTAAGTTTCATATACTACATTAATGATTAAATATTGTTGAAAAGAAAAAAAAAAGTTGGTAATTTATAATTATAAAGTTTGATCTGTTAATTTGTAGGTATTCTGATAAAAGAGCATATGGGCAATCAAAATTAGCAAACATCTTACACGTCAAGGAGCTCACTCGTCGATTCCAAGTGATTCCCTAAACTTTTAAATTTTCAATGTTTTAACTATTAAACTACACTGTTTAACTCTCATGTGTTGTCGAATTAAAAAAAAAAACTAAAAAAACTTTTACGATAGATTCTTCCTTGTTCGAGATTTTGACAAGGAATTATAGTTGATTGCATAGTTCAGTTTGGTTGACTTTAGTTTATTTCAGTATATATACTTTTAAAATGTCGTTTTTGTACTTTCAAACCTCAATTCCCTATCGTTTTAATGAGTGATCATTTTAGTTTTTTTATTTTTATTTTTATCTCATTTATTTCGATTATAATTTAAGCATAACACTTCATTCACTAAATTTCTTGAAATGTAACAAGAAAATAGCAGCAATCACAATTTTAATTAATTATCTTCTTTATATATAAATAAACTCACAATTATCTTCGAATTTAAATGACGTGGAAAAGTCAATCTGAACATAGTTTAGTGAATAAAAAACATATTACTATTTTAAAGTTTCGTGGTTTGATCTCAAACTCCCAAAAAAAAAGGGAAAAAAAATAAGGTTGAAATAATAATTGAAATGGTGATTGAATAATTTATATATTAAATATGTTGGTTGGTTGATATTTATAGGAAGAGGGTGTGAACATAACGGCAAACGCGGTGCATCCGGGGCTAATAATGACGCCTCTTATGAGGCATTCTATGCTTCTCATGCGTACGACACCACACATTCTTTCTTTAATTATTTTTCTTTATCTTTATTTTACGACGACATGTCGTCATTTACTCACCTTCGTTTCATTGCTCTCTCTCTTTAGGGCTTTTGCAAGCTTTCACCTTCTTTATCTGGAAGAATGTCCCTCAGGTAATTCAAACCAATCCCCTTTTCATTTTTCCTTTTTTTTTTTTTTGATGAACTGAAATTCAATGAATTAAGGCTACTTTAATGATGGATTGGGGTACATAAAAAGATAAGAGGTCTCATTTTTTATCTTCTTTTTTTTTTTTTAAATCAAGTTAAGAAACATTTGAAGAATCAAAATTTGAAGTTTTTAAGAGAGGTGAAAGACTAACTTATGAAATTGTAAAAACAAGTATATAGAAAATTAAAAGTGATTCTGCCATGAGTTTTTAGTTCCTTTTGTAAAAACTATGTGTTTGGTCACGATTTTTCAAGCAAATTAAAAAATAAACAAGTTTCTAAAAACTATTTTTTTTTTTTTAAGTTTTCAACATTTTGACTTCGATTTTGAAAACAGTTTCAAAAGAGTAACTACAGAACAAGGAAATATATATATGGTGGGAAAGTGGATTTGCAAGTTTAATTTTCAAAAATAGAAAATCAAAAACAAAATATTCATCATAAAATAGGTGCGGAGCAATTATCAGAACCTAAACTTCAAAATTGTCTCTTACCCTAAATTCGAGACTAACTCATTTTCAATTATATTTTAAACCATAAATATCCGACCCTTCCCACCCTGTGTTATTTTGTTTTTAGTACAATAAATGTGAGGGCGTGAAATTTTATTAATAATAAAATGAAATTTAGGGGGCCGCGACGAGTTGCTACGTGGCACTTCACCCGAGCTTGAAGGGGGTGAGTGGGAGATATTATTTGGACTGCAACGAGAAGCGCCCAAGCTCCTCTGCTAGAGACGAGACACTCGCTAAGAAACTTTGGGACTTCAGCAACAATTTGATAAATTCCATCTCTAAAGTATGAAACGACGTGGTTTAGGGCCCTCAAAGTCACATCTCAACTCAACTCTATAAAAGGAATTAAGGCAAATAAATACATTGTTGTTTTATTAAGAACTTTGTTATATCTTAGTCTATAGTTTTTTATGCCATGGGGATTGGAAGCTCCTACTATTATTATTGGTGTGGTTATTCAATTCACATTGTTTGGTAATTATGAAATTCGAGCCATTAACTTATGTTCTTTATCCTTTTTTATGGGTGGGAGTGATTATTCGAATGTTCGATCTTTTGATCGAGGATATGTGTCTTAACAAATTGAATTATATTCMGTTAGCAAGTGAAAATAGAGAAAAGAGTAAATTTGCAGATTTGACTGGAAGGTATCTTGACATTCATCCACTAGCCTAGAGGCTGAATAAATTTTGGTTAAAAAGTTTTGTACTCTGACGTCTAATAACGACGCAAACCTAAGTATAGATCATTTTGGTTAAGACRTAATAATTTGGTCAAAAATTGAATCTCATTCCTACCCTCGTTTGAACTCAAAGAAGAAAAAAGAATCTAACAAAGTCGGACAAAAATAGTAATTTAACCTAAAAAAAACTACTCCAAACACCAAAGGTCGTTTAGATAAAGAAGCTTTCTGATCTTGAGAAAAGAACATTCAGTTTCAAGTTTGTATTAAATAGGTGCATTTTACACAAGATTGGTTGGCCAAAGAACAGATTTCTCACGCAGAAATGACATGAATCTAGGCACACATATCTGTGTCTAGACATTACAATCTTGATGAGAATAATTTCTCTACCCAAACGGTTAATGTAAGAAACCCAATATACGAGATGCAGAGAACAGAGAGTATARTCACCAGCATCGCCTGCACCGAAACATATGGACTGAGAAAGAAGACAGCTGAAGTACTCACGCTCTGCCAGACCTTCAGCTGCGCAAACGCTCCTTCCTGTTAACCAAAACCAATATCAAATCCAAATCCATTCCTGACCAACTTTTWACAGAATCAGTGATGTTAAGAAACAAGCAACATCCAGTATCTATGGTATTATATGAGGATAGCAATGGCAACAGATGTAGTTAGATGATATGAAATTGCCAAATATCGAGGTTGCCGCATTGAGAGATTTATAGCCTAGATTGTTAACTAGAGAAAGCAATGAAGGATAGATGAGCACTTACGGTGTCATGTTTGAAAAGTATTCCGAGAAGAGCGTTCAGCTGTGTGTTAAAAATTCCATCTCCAATTCCCAGTAAGGCTGATAAAAGAAGCAGGTGAACAACGCCAAGTGCTCCACTGGTTATGATGACACGGCATTACAAGGTTTGATAATTACACAGTACACTAGCAGCATCGATTACAAAAAATTCTGAAAATAATTTGTTGCTAACCTCTGTCCCAGTAGCAGCCAAACGAAAACAATAGCTTGAATGACAGCTCCACCAGATACAAACAAAGTGATTGATGAGAGACCAGATGTAAGACGACCAGCCACCAAAGAACACTAAAATGACAACAAAATAGGTGAGGCTGTAACTTAAAATATTATGAAGAAAAGAGTTATACTATGTTAAGAAGACAAGGCAAGGAAACTACACCAGAACATCATTTATCCATGAACATATAAAAGAAAACGGTTTAACAATCGAAGCTCACTTTTTCTGTAAGCAATAGCTTAGATGAAAGATAAATAGTTGAAAGCAAATATATGAATGTTTCAGGACATGGGTCATGGCCAGAAGAGAGAGAGAAGTGGTCAAAGTACTCTTGTGCCTTCTCGACAAATACCATTCAAATCAACCATTTGCAACCTTAATACCCGTTCCACCCAACAACTGATGATTGTTACTAGTTGAACACAAAACAAAAGGAAAACGAACAAGTGTGTGTACTTACAATTGCATCAGCGGCCCCATAAACTGCCATTACACCACCAACCCCTGACACACCAAGTGACGGAGTGACGATATATTTTGTGAATGCAGCCCTATGTTTGGAACTCTTCAATGCTTAGTGAGGGAAAAAAGAGGCTACAGCAACAAAGAGCATATAATACTTTGTTCCAGTAATTACCATACAAATGCCTGTTGTAGTCCTGAATATGCGATCAGAGGAATGGCCAAGACCATTCTTACGTCAGTCAATGGAGCAACTACTAACTTTGACAGAGACAGTATAGAAGCATGTAGGCTGGACGAGGACAATGATGGTTCGTCTTCTTTACTGTCTTCCTTCCGTAAGAACCACATAAGTGCTATACCTAACGTCACAGTGCAAAGGAAGATAATGAACAAAACAGTTGTGCCACTAGTTCTTCCACCCTGCAGGATTTATGGGGGCAAAAAAAAACTTATTTAATCTGGAGATGTCATT